ACTTCCCGAAATGAAGCACCCTACACAAATTATTCAGGAAAAAAACAAAAAAAAAAAAACAAACCACCGAGAAGATGGCCGAAATAATTTAAAAAGGCACACCAGGAAAACTATTAACAAACCACACGAACAAATTAATTCCACTTGTAACTGCAGAATTGTAATTGGCAGTTGGAATCATCATCTGTGATATATCGCCATTTCTGAAGAATTATAAAAATGTAGATGCATGCATGTTATAGTGGAACATACCTATTCTATAGTTAATAGGCTCTCCTACCTATAATAAGTAGGAGTAGTATGAGTCGCTCAGTGGTTCGGTCAGTCAGTTGTGTCGGTCGACCGGCTGATCGACTGAACTCTCTGCCTTCGGGCGGGGAGGGACCCGAAAGAGGCTACGCCGAAGGACGGATTCTCTTTCGCGGAGGTAAACCGACCCTGAACCCGTTTATACGGGTTCAATGGGCATATTTGTGGCCGAGCCCACGGGCTCAGAGATCCCACGGGCTCGGAGATCCCACGGGCTCGGAGATCCCACGTTAAAAAGACCTTGTGCCACATGACGCCCTCGTGGGGGGGTGACTGAATATCTTTGGTCAGTCAGTCGATGTCGGTCGACCGTTAGTCGAATACTAAAGTATCAGCGACCACAACTAGATTACTCTGCGTCATTACCTATTGTATCAAGTTCCTAACGTTTTGTACGTCGAATCTATTTTTGGACCGACTTAGTACAAATACAAGCCTCCACTGTGAAATCATTCCATAACAATGTAGATGTATGATTACGGCTGAATAATTTTATAGCATCCAATAGGCAATTTTTAGAGGGGTTTGTTAAACGAGTCTAATTTATACCCCGAACTATGAACTAGGCGAGCTCCGATCTTACCCTGGTGTTAAACCGGACTACGCTAAACTTTTGGCGGGTATATTCCGGTAGGGTTGTAATGATTCTGTAGGTTCAAGCCTGTCTGAAGAATCGTTTCCGAAACTTAAGAAAAAGAAATTGGAAATTTGATTGGAATATTCTTAATGGAATTCACAAAGAAAATTTTCACGATTTAAATTTAAATGATTTGAATTAACACGATTTACGAACATACTTTCATGGTAATTGTTCCAATGAGTTGTTGGCTACACTATATAGTCATTATGAATATTTTATTAAACACCTGAGTGACACCTTTCTGCTTTTCTTCAGTATGGCTGATGCTAACCTCCAGGGAAGTGACTCATTGCGCCTTCTCGGCTTAATGTTCTCGGCTGACATAAAATGGAAAGACAATATTGAATCCATTGCTAGGTCGGTTGCTAAGAAAATTGGTTCACTGTTCCATGCGAGACATGTTTTTTTTCAAGAATCCATCTTATCTGTTTCCCATTTGCCCATGCTTAGAATATTTCTGTCCCATATGGTCCGGTGTTCCTGCAATATATCAAGATATCCTTGATAAAATTCATAAAGAAAATCAGCAATAACATTCGTCCTGATCTTACATCTCGGCTTCAGTCACTTTTCCACCGCTATAAAGTTGCATCTCTCTGCCTTTTCTATAAATACTTTCATGGCAATTGTTCTTCGCTATCTTACATAAACCTAATGAATATAAGCGCAATAGTAAACTGGTAACGACGTCTTATCGATATACCGCTGAGTTGGCTAGATGTAACCGTAAGTTCTATGCTAACAGTTTCTTCTCTGGCACTCCTCGCTTGTAAACTCACTTCCGGTTCTATCCTTTCCAAACAACTTTAATCGTCACAAAATTAAACGCAATGCCAATCGCTATCTACCGTCCTTCTGATTATGCTTCTTATGTACTTGCTCTTTCGTAGAGTTCCTCTTTTCTAATTGTTCCACAACCAGCAAATCTTTGTGTTTCAGTGGCTTTAATGCCCGACTTGGAGTGAACGGGATTTAAAAAATATTGTGTGTCTCGGAAAATATGCATTTACTGAAACAACAACAAATCAGGATTCAGTTAATTCACACAATTTTGCATTTTAGACAAAATAAATTCAGGTTTTGAAAACTGCACCGGCGAAAATATTAATAAGATAGATGGTTAAAGTTTTATTCATTTCAGAATATGTTTCCCATAGTGAATTAATTGTATAAAAATGCTCAGTTATTACAATATATAATACATTAATGACCAGCCAATGTGGCCACCCATTTACCAAATAATTTGCATAATACACGAGCAATCTTAAACTAATTATGCCGGAAAATTTGAATAATATAAATTAATCTAGCATTAAAATTTTTCAAGGTTTTAAAATTATACAATTTGAACACCATTCGAAAGAGAAATAAATTCTGTATAAAGCGTACAAATAAAATGAACTGTCTATATTTCTGAGATGAGGTATAATGTACACTATTTACATTATTCGGACTATTTTCCTCATCTTTGTCACCATATTTATTACAACGTTTCGGCCCTTCAGTATCTGTCTATATTTCCGAGATGAAGTATTTTGTACACTCTTTACATTATTCGGATTATTGTCCTCATCTTTGTCGCCATATTTATTACAACGTTTCGGACGTTGTACGCTCCGGCATTCTTCAGGTGGACAAAATGTTAAACGGAACCCTTTATTTCGCTAACTGGGGTAGACTGTTCTAGTTCCACATGCCATGTTTAATTGATGTCAGTTATCAGTTATCTCCTGTGAATTCCCCTCTCCAAGTTCTCCACTGCCTTAAACGGGTATTGAACTCACACATAAAGGCATTGTTTAAATCCAGTGACAGGACCCAAAGAGTATGAGTTCAATACCTGGTTAAGGTGGTGGAGAAATTTCAGAGGGAAATTAACAGGAGATAAATGATAACTGACATCCATTAAACATGGCACGTGGAACTAGAACAGTCTACCCCAGTGAGCAAAATAAAGGTTTCAGTTCGACATTCCAGCCAAATGAAGAAGGCCGGAGCGTACAATGGCTGAAACGTTGTAATAAATATGGCGACAAAGATGTGGACAATAGTGTGAATAATCTAAATAGTGTATATAATACCTCGTCTCAGAAATATAGACAGATACTGAAAGACCTAAACGTTGTAATAAATATGGCGACAAAGATGAGGACAATAGTTCGAATAATGTAAATAGTGTACATAATACCTGTTGAGATGTTGTGAGTTTCCCGCGTGTTGGTGTAAGAATCAAGACAAATACAATTGTAGAGGAAAATACTGGTATATTCATGAAAACAATTAACAATAGAGTGATTAGTAGAACGAAGGTTGGTTAGTACGAACAATATCCAAAGTATATAGTCCAACGGTATGTAACTGGTAAGCTTATCGGGACTGCTGTCACTGACGCTCTCGCAAAAGCTCTGTCTCCTCTGTCCCTCGCTCTCCAGAGCTGACTTATATAAGAGGGACCAGTCCATTACTAGTTAGAAGGTGGGTGCGACCCAACAATACCTCATCTCAGAAATATGGACAGTTCATTTTATTTGTACGCTTTATACAGAATTTATTTCTCTTTCGAATGATGTAAAAATTGTATAATTTTCAAAACTTGAAAAATTTTAATGCTTGATTAATTTATATTATTCAAATTTTCCGGCAAAATTACTTTAAGATTGCATGTGTATTATGCAAATTATTTGCTAAATGGGTGGTCACATTCGCTGGTCATTAATGTATTATATATTGTAATAATTGAGCATTTTTATACAATTAATTCACTGTGGGAAAAATATTTTGAAATGAATAAAACTTTAACTATCGTTCTTAAGCTTATTTTTGTTAGTTTATATTATGTTTCAAGAACATTTTGAGACAAACCTTCTCGTGTGTTTGGGGGATGGGGAATTACGATTTTACTGCACTAAAATATTTGTTTACAAGCGTCAGTTCAGACCCCAAATAAAATATTGCTATCGTATCTAAGCTTAAGCTGATCAATAATTTCTTTCCAGTCGTGACATAGTTCAAACGCGTTTATGCGGCCTTGCGGGTGATGAATTCTTTTCAACTCTGCAGCCCCTTTCCACACAGACGAATCGTCGCAAGCCTATCGCTACCCTCTCGATTTTTCCCTGTGAAACAAGCTACATTGTTTCCATTCACCACCTAAAATATCATGTACATTAAATTCATTTTCCTCGTATTCCATTAGTAAGGAAGAAGTTCTACACAGAGCGCTTCTTCTCGGAAACCGATACCTTTAGACTTCCGAGATGCTTACTCGATCACTACAATTTTAACCTCTTCAAGTTGAGGTCCAACAGTTATCTTTCTAATCTATCCCCATAATCTGCAATTACATAAAGGAAAACTCATTCTGTGACACTCTACACCGAGTGGCTCTTGGGCCTTGCATTTTTTTTTTCAAAACGTCCCCACTTCAGATTATCTCTTGAATGATTTCACTTCTCCAACGCTTGCTATCGCTTCCATCAATAGTGAGTTAACAAAAGATTCCTTGAAGGATACTGGAATTAAAACCGAAATAGATTTCTTTAGTAAGAAATGCAAAACGTAGCTGAAAGGTAATCTAAATTTATAAAAAGCATTTGGAAATATATTCCTAAGTAAATATTGAGGCTATGAAATATGTTCCTTGAATTAACCCAGGTGTGAAGTTTTGGTCAATCTCTACCGGTAATTAATAATGACAATTATAAACGTCCCTTATTGTGCTAACCAAGATAGATCTGATGTCTACAGCCGGCAGGGCTGAGCAATTTCTAAACCGAACTGATATGTGTAGTGTTCTATATTAAACCTAACTCTTGGACATATTTACCTTCCATGCTGGTGAGTAGATATTTTATCTGGTTAAACGTTTCGACAAATATACAGGAAAAAATTGCACCGAGCTAGTATAATTGAACACCATTTATGTTTTACATACGAGGTTCGCCTCAGCCCTCGAGGATGGTATGGTCGTTAGTCTAAGAGAAGGATGAGGACGTAATCAAAAGCGTGGACAAGACAACGGAAAATCAAACCATTATTTTTTTCTCAGATGTCATAGATAGATAGATAGATAGATAGATAGATAGATATATAGGAACAGACTGAGAAGCATAGATAGATAGATAGATAGATAGATAGATAGATAGATAGATAGATAGATAATGAATAGACAAATATCGATAAATAAATAGATAATGAAGATAGACAGATAATGAATAGTCTGACATAGACTGAGATACGTTGATAGATAGATATGAACAGACAGATGCATAGATAGATAGATAATGAATAGGCTGAGATAGATAGATAGATAGATAGATAGATAGATAGATAGATAGATAGATAGATATGAACAGAGTGCTATGCGTAGATAGATTGATAATGAGATAGATAATGAATAGTCATAGATACATAAATAGATAATGAATAGTCTGAGAAAGATAGATAGATAGATAGATAGATAGATAGATAGATAGATAGATAGATAGATAGATATTAACAGACTGAGATGCATATATTGATAATATGATAGATAATAAATTAACATAGATACATAAATAGACTATGAATAGACCGAGATAGATAGATCGATATATAGAAAAAATAGGCTGGGATAGATAGATAGATAGATATGAATAGACTGAGATAGATAGATAGATAGATAGATAGATAGATAGATAGATAGATAGATAGATAGATAGACTGAGATACGTAGACAGATATGAAAAGACTCCTATGCATAGATAGATTGATAATCAGATCGATAATGAATTGACATAGATACGTAAATAGACTATGAATAGACCGAGATAGATAGATCGATATATAGATAAAAATAGGCTGGGATAGATAGATAGATAGATATGAATAGACTGAGATAGATAGATAGATAGATAGATAGATAGATAGATAGATAGATAGATAGATAGATAGATAGATAGACTGAGATACGTAGACAGATATGAACAGACTCCTATGCATAGATAGATTGATAATCAGATCGATAATGAATTGACATAGATACATAAATAGACTATGAATAGACCGAGATAGATAGATCGATATACAGATGAAGGATAGGCTGGGATAGATAGATAGATAGATAGATAGATAGATAGATAGATAGATAGATAGATAGATAGATAGATAGATATGAACAGAGTGCTATGCGTAGATAGATTGATAATGAGATAGATAATGAATAGTCATAGATACATAAATAGATAATGAATAGTCTGAGAAAGAAAGATAGATAGATAGATAGATAGATAGATAGATAGATAGATAGATAGATATTAACAGACTGAGATGCATATATTGATAATATGATAGATAATAAATTAACATAGATACATAAATAGACTATGAATAGACCGAGATAGATAGATCGATATATAGATAAAAATAGGCTGGGATAGAAAGATAGATAGATATGAATAGACTGAGATAGATAGATAGATAGATAGATAGATAGATAGATAGATAGATAGATAGACTGAGATACGTAGACAGATATGAACAGACTCCTATGCATAGATAGATTGATAATCAGATCGATAATGAATTGACATAGATACATAAATAGACTATGAATAGACCGAGATAGATAGATCGATATATAGATAAAAATAGGCTGGGATAGATAGATAGATAGATATGAATAGACTGAGATAGATAGATAGATAGATAGATAGATAGATAGATAGATAGATAGACTGAGATACGTAGACAGATATGAACAGACTCCTATGCATAGATAGATTGATAATCAGATCGATAATGAATTGACATAGATACATAAATAGACTATGAATAGACCGAGATAGATAGATCGATATACAGATGAAGGATAGGCTGGGATAGATAGATAGATAGATAGATAGATAGATAGATAGATAGATAGATAGATAGATAGATAGATAGATAGATAGACTGAGATACGTAGATAGATATGAACAGACTGAGATGCATAGATAGATTGATAATAAGATAGATAATAGACATAAATACATAAATAGATAATGAATATACCGAGTTAGATAGATCGATATATAGATAAAGAATAGGCTAAGATAGATAGATAGATATATAGATAGATAGATAGATAGATAGATAGATAGATAGATAGATAGATAGATATAAACAGAATGAGATGCATAGATAGATAGATATATAACTTAATGATTCAGATGATCTCTTATTTTCCGGCAACTGATGGTCACGTACCTCTTTTAATCTACCTAAGATTACGGGCAGTCTATCGGGAGCCTCCCGGAAGACGGCAAAATTACTATTTCGGACAAGTCATCTCATCCTGGAGACGGATGGCTGTAGAGAAATAAAGTGTATACAGCTTTCTTTGCCACCAGACTTTATGCCCCTAATCCAACGCCAAGACTAAAGAATGCTGCGTTTTTTAAGGCTATCCATCCCTTTTCATAAAGCCTATAGTCGATGCACGTTTTATGAAACGGTAACCGGCCTGGAGTCGTCGTGCAGATTTTAAATTCTAACTTAGCACTAATGTCCTTGGAAAAGGCATAAACCCATTTTCTCCAGCTACCGCTTAAATAGCAGAACAGAGTAGGTTCTCTTGGTCGAGCAACAGTCTCGGAGGACAACTGGAGTTTGTGAGGCTATCTTGTTCGAGACACATCCACTGTTATCCCCGTTACAGGATATATGGCGACCCTAGTAATGGGTTACGGGATGCGTTCTTAATTGAATAATTCGTTTTCAGCGCCTTATCAACTCATTTCAGGATTTTTAAAGCCAGATAATATTTTAGATTGCAAGAATTTTTTTTTTTTAGCGAATGACAACTCTTACTAATTAACACATAGCTATGGGAAGAATAGGTGCTTTCATACCTAATGAGAATTTGATAAACAAGAAAATTACAAGGTGTTTATAAGGTGGGGATCAGTTCTATATTACAATCAATATATAAACTGATCCCTCAATTTGTGGCCACGGTAGTTTCTATATATTTATATTCCAGAGAATGCTATTAAATCCAAAAGACATGCCTATATACCTAATCAGTATTTATTCGTTTTTTACGGCTTATCAAGAAACAAGAAATTATAATGTGGATATAAAATGGGGGATCAATTCTATATCACAATCAATATATAAACTTATCACTCACTTTGTGGCCAGAGTAGTTTCAATACATTTCTATTCCAGGGAATGTAAATAAATCTCAAAGATATGCCTATCTAGCTAATCAGTATGTGATTGATTCATTCATTGTCTACGGTTTATAAGCCGTTTACAGGTTATCTCAGGCCAGAATGTTTTAGATAATAATGGATTAGTTATACAATTCTTATAATTAACCCATAGCTGGGGGAAAGACGTAAATTCATACCTTTTCCAAGGGTATTTGCGCGTAAATGAAGATAAAGAACCCAAATGGAATTGGAACTCGGTTCCCCAATTAACGATCCATTACACCACCCGCATATCCAAGCTGGTCGTGCCTGGTATTCCCAGACGGTCACCCATCTAGGTATTGCCCAAGTTTGATGTTGCTTAACTTCGGTGATCTTACAGGAACCGGTGTTTCAACGTGATGTGGCCGTAATCCTACGATATACTTGATTGTCAGACGTGACAAAATTGGGTTAAGCATTTTGTGATGGCAGACACAAAGAAAAATGCATAAAAACCTAGACAAAGCATAAGGGAAAGTGGGAAGAAAGGACTAACCACAAATTTGAAGAAAATACAATGTTCGATTTTTAGCAAGTTGAAAAGCCCAAGATGCGATCTATAATTTGCAGATATGAAAATAACACATATAACGAAAATTAAATATCTGGGTGATTTTCGTCTGACGCCTAACAGTTTGACACGGAAATCCAAAGGCACATTTGAATACAGAAAGATGCCTTCCAAAAGCTAAGCAAAGTATTAGGGGACTGGAAATCTTCGTTAGAAACACCCAAATAACTAACGAACTAATACATAATGACAGTTCTCTTATATGACAATGAATGCTGGTGAATTTTCTCAAAGATGACGAGGCGGCGTGAGGCAACATTGAATTGGTTAGATTAATATTTGGATAATATTCAATGGCAGCACTCTCGAGGATTTTCCTTCTGAGTGAATTATTTTCTTTCCTTTTTTTTTTTTTTTGAGTGTATTAATCTACACCCAGGATTTTTTCCTAATATCGCCTTTCCTAACAGAATCACTTCTCTCCCAAGCCAACTTAACAATATATCAAGAAAGCAAAAAAAAAAAAAACGATTGAATCCGTCGACACAACAATACAAACAATATTTCTACACATGAAAATATTCTCTTCAAACAAATTAATTGACGTAATTTTTCAGATGACCATATGAATATACAATAGCGTTTTAAGACATTTTTTTATGTTTATACGTTCTTTTTTTATAGATACAAATATTTAAGTAAATACTCTGTTTATAATATTACCGACCTGAATGTCCGAGAATATTCCTCGAAAATATGCGTATTCCCACAAAAATTGAACCTGTATCCTATACGGAACCGTAATATAGCCTAACGTGCTTTACTGATTTAGCCACAGAGGAGTGTTTCGGTTAACAAGGTCGATTTTACTGTTTTTAAACTACAATTCTCCATGAAATAATAGCGTTTCTAAATTCTCTACAAAATATCTATAAATAACAAAGCAACGACATTTTGTTTGTTATTAATAGATACTTTGCTTCAATAAATTCATTTCGTTTTTGCCTTGAAAATGTCTGCACTGGACGAAACGCGCCGGCTAAAACTACAGTTTTCCTACTGACTTTTTTTTTTTTTTATACATATTGTCTTTTACCACCGGTTAATTCTAAGAAATCTTTACCTAAAGTTATATACAAATATCTAAATATTACCTTCGAAATTCAGTTTAAAAACGTTACAGCCTTTTTACGATCTAATACCTATAAAAAATTGATAAATTCAAACAGATATACGGAGACGCCGATATCGGGCGATGATAAAAATGGACCCATTAAATAAATGTGCACAACAGTAGGGGAGAAAGGAAGTAAAAAGGGAAGATGAGGAAGAGGAAGGGAGAGCGACAAACGGAGCAAATATCTGGCCACCAGACATGGGGAGCTTCGTTTAGGAATTCAATAAAGCTTGGTAATCAATATCAGACAAAATGCTTACTCAAGTGAGGAACGATAGAACACGATGAATTTGTGTGCGTCCTTTATTGGCTTTTCTTCTGTCCGAGTGCCTCCGTCTCGACTCTTAGACAAAACATCCATTTTTTTTTTCTGTTTGTCTATCGGATCTATCGGATTATTTTCTTTGAACATTTGAATGCTAGAAAATTTAATCTGATATAGACGCGTAAAGGTAAAGAGGTAGGTACGAAGATGATTATTCAACCGTCGGGATATTGCAGATTTTACAAGCATCGAGATATTTTTTTTTCTTTTGAGAGAATGGGAATAGGACATATAAATTGATAAGTTTAAAAAAAAAGACGGGAAACCATCAATCTGGATCCCAAAAATTATTAGTATCTGAAGAGATCGATAAATTTCATTAACTAGGTATTTACTGTCTACCCACTAAGACGAGTTGTGACACAAAGTCAGTTTTTAATGTGGGGAGACGGAGCGCGTACACCCGGCTAGGAACAAAAATTGCCTGCAGCCCCCGCAACCATTGATTGCACTTGAATTATCATACATGTATATATCATGATATATATATATATATATATATATATATATATATATATATATATATATATATATATATATAATCGGGATGTATTTAGTTTTGAAATCAGTTGTATTGACCGTCTAGGAGACAAAAGACAACGGTGCAAATAATCTGTAAATATTCCTGTTGCTATGTTCCGAGATTATCGCTGTTGCACAACATGTGGCCTTGTATGCAGGTCACTAGAGTGAAAGAAGTTTCACATATGATGTAATCGTAAAACTGAATGATGATTGTTGGATCCTTATACGTCGAAATCTATGTGACTTTGAATCACATATATGTGTGTGTGTGTATATATATATATATATATATATATATATATATATATATATATATATATAAATAGTGTAGATATAAGGATCAACGCTGCATGGCAGCAATCAATTGCAAGCTTCAATGATCTCTTCAACAAACCGTAATCAACAATAATTTCCCTCACTACGTTGTCGACGAACAAATAAAATTAGTTATAATGAAATTTAGAAAAAAATGACACCTGACCCTTCCCTGAGGCAAACAAAAATAGACACATCATTAACTTATTCTATCCTAACCAAATGCACCCTAATTATAAGCAAGATGTAAAAGCAAATAAACATACTATTCTCCGGTACATATCACTCAATAATCCTAATAAACACTTAAGATTTATCATCTACTACAGTAAGTTTAAAACATCTAACTTAATAATTTCCAACGATACCCTGACTTATAAGTCCCCGCCAATGTAAAAATAATATTGTCTACGAATACTCATGCCACTTGGGGGGTTGCTTTTCTAATATTAATAATCAAAAAACACGATTAAATACTTATATTGGGCACACATGTATCACACTCTCACAGAGGTTGACTTGTCACGTGTCGAAACATAAGGAACCCGTGCACACATCGACCAACACATTATGAACGACCAAAGTACAACTATCGCAAATACTGTAAAGATAACACATCGTTTCTTGATCATGACTGCGAAAGTCGAAAGTACTTGAACAAAAAATAGCAAAATATAAACTTCGGAGACAGTTTATCCAAAACTTCGAGCACAATAATGAATACCTAATCTGAATATTGTAAAAATACAATAAAAATTTGAACGTAAAGACCTTGGGGATTATTTGTCATCATAATTGATTGGATGAATACGGTAAGGCATATGTATTTACCCATTATATCTTTAAGGAAAATTATATAATGTATAAAGAATACATTACAATGTATTTTTTATGTATTATAATAATCTATCTATCTATCTATCTATCTAAAAGAAAATTACTTACAATAGAGCGTGTCCATAAACTTTGTGTGCACTAAAACATCTATAACTTTATTTGTATTTGCGATAAAAATAATTTGTAAAAAGGATTAGAAAGAACTAAATCTATATTTTTGAAGGTTATTATTGAAATTTTATTTAAGTTTCCACATGTCCTCCATCATTAGCAATACAAAGGGCAATACGATTTTGCAGTTCACGGAAAACATTTGCCAACTGATTTAATTGGATCTAACACATTTATTCACTGTGCCATGTGTCCTCAAGGATACATGGCACAGTGGATAAGGACACATGGCACAGTGGATAAAGGCGTTAGTTAGCTCCAGTGACAGGATCCAAAGAGTGTGAGTTAAATACCCGGTTAAGGCAGTGGAGAACTTGGAGAGGGAAATTAACAGGAGATAACTGATAACTAACATCCATCAAACATGGCACGTGAAACTAGAACAATCTACCCCAGTGAACGTAATAAAGCGTTCATTTCGACATTCCAAACACCTGAAGAAGCCCGGAGCGTAAAACGGCCGAAAAGTTGTAATAAATATGGAAGCAAAGATGAGGACAATTGTCTGTATAATATAAATAGTGTACATAATACCTCATCTCAGAAATATAGACAGATACTGAAAGGCCGACACCTTGTAATAAATATAGCGACAAAGATGAGGACAATAGTCCGAATAATGTAAATAGTGTATATAATACCTCATCTCAGAAATATAGACAGATACTGAAAGGCCGAAACGTTGTAATAAATATGGTTACAAAGATGAAGACAATTGTCCAAATAATGTAAATAGTGTACATAATACCTCATCTCAGAAATATAAACAGATAATGATCGTAAAAAGGATTGTAAATGTTATGTATGCTCGTAGGTAACAGATCAAGTCCAAGATGGTGCTGAAAATTCCTCAACCTGGGCATTTTTTTAAAAATTTGAACAAAACACTGCAAATTTTTTGTGTGGGTGGGAGTTGTGTTGGTTGGATTGAGGAGTTTTACTCCCACGCATATTGATATATCGGTAAAATGATCTATTTTTACATCAGAATAAATCTTGCTGAAGCGAACTTTAGTGATGAGATGCGATAATGCACAATATTTGTAAAACCTACCAATGGTTGGATGAGAGTTAAGAATGCTCTCAAAGATAGTGCTTGTAGAGTTTGGTGGAATTTGATATTTGTCCTAATACCGATCATAGATCGATAGAGGATTTCGTCTTGAACCGATTGGAAATAGGAAATCCAATACGAAATACATGCAACAAAGAATCGTCAGAATAGTCGATCCTCATGAAGAGAATGAAAAAAAAATAACAAAAAACAAAAAGCAAACCAAAATAAAACAGAAAAAAAAGACATTTTCAAGATTTAAAACTAAAAAATAATTCCTGTCTACCGATGTTTCTCTTACTCTCTTTCCATCCCAGTCTTCTTCTCTCACCCCACTCTCTCTCTCTCTCTCTCTCTCTATATATATATATATATATATATATATTCTTCTTTAACCAAACCACTTGAAATACTTCCTATCTAGACCGAAAAAAGACCCGCCACACTCCGCCTATTGTAGCGAGCCACCTTCATTCCACTCGTATTCCATTGGTGAAGTATAAGTTCTATTTAAGTAGTTTCTTTCCACGAACGGCTGCTTTGTGGAACCGACTCCCGAGAGGATGCTTTCCGGATAACTGTAACCTTAACCTGTTCAAATTTAGAGTTAATCGTTTTACATAACAGCGTTTCTAATTCCTTGCCCGGGTGGTTAGGCTGAGGACATCGGCATCCATAAATACGACAAGAATGAGCTTGAACCAAAAATAGCACATTCTGCATATATTCCACGAAGTAGGTCTTTACCATGAACATTAGAAATGGTGGAATTAAGGAATGTAATTCGTCTGAAGAATTTCCATGGAAGTAGCGGTAGAGCAGCAAGAAGCTTGCGATGTTTCATCCGTGAGAAAGTGGCTGTAGGGTGGAACATCATTTTTCACTCACAAGGACACGGGGACGGTTTTGAAAAGTATAGAATGGGCAGCAGTAGTCCATTGTTTACCTGTACATCAAGAGGATAGCAGCAGGAGTCAGGTACTTACTGGAATGGTAGAAGAAACTGACCATTTTTCCTTCCAGCATCTTTAGCGATGGATCGTATATACAAGGTCCGCTTGAGATGTGGGATATGAAGGGAAAGCGGATGATTCATCCTTGTATTCCTTTTATTTAGGTTACGGTATGGAAGGTTTAAGTGATCAGTGCCCATCTCTTCACATCGGTGCATGTATATGTGCATAACATAATCTACAAAGAAATTAAATAGATTATTGCTCTCATGTCCCCCTTGTCGTAATCCAGATGGGCTTTAGAATATGCAGAAAGTGTAGTCTCAAGTCAAACATTTCAAAACAGAAACCGTGAACTGAATTTAGAATGAAAGCAGTGATGTTGCCGACTCTGAATTCTGAATAATAAAGGCCTCAAAAACCTCTGTGAATGGATCAGTTACAACACATTTAGTACCGAGGGGAAAAGGAAATTGAACACAGATTAGTCGGTTTTGCCTAACCCCACAAGCTGCTACAAAACCAAAACATTAACCTAAAAAAACAGCAGCCTTGTTCTAAAATAGTCTCTACAGATTGAGATTTTCATATGAACACCTGGCGCCAAACTCATTAATATCTAAACTGTCAGTTATACACAACCACTCTCTCAGATCCGTATCCGGTAAATTGTTCGAAATCAATCACTCGACAGTAAATTGTTCGAAATCAATTGCTCGAAAAATAATTTCTCGAATATTCAATTGCTCAAAGGGCAATTTGCTCAAAGGGCAATTTGCTCAAAGGGCAATTTGCTCAAAGGGCAATTTGCTCAAAACCTGTGGTTAAAAAAAAAATAAAACTGCATTTTTCTAATATTTACTATAAGATAAAATAATACAACTTTATTGTTGTTAACTGAACAGTTAAAATTAAAGAACGAGTACATTTATATAGCAGGACTTATTATTTTTTTTCTCAAAAGGCACTTTGCTCAAAACCTGTGGTTAAAAAAAATAAAACACATGCTAAGCATTTCCT